GCAAAACATCCTCCTCTTCGAAAGGTTTACGACTTGTCAGCAGATTCTTTGGGGAAGGCTACAGTTCGAACATTTCCGAAATTAAAAAAACAATTTTCTTCGTCCATAAAATTATCCAAGAAATCTATTCTATTTCATAATTTTTGCAGGTAAGTAGGAACAGATAGTTAACGGGTAATATACATATCTGACCTTCATCGGCCATTTCTTCTGTTCGGTTCATCAAACTCTCCAACTTCTCCCCTATATTTCCCATGTCATCTTTTATCTTCTCTATCTGTTCAAGTCCTTTACCCATGTCACCTTCAATCTTCTCAAGACCTTTTCTCATGTTTTCTAATTGAAAGAAAAATGTAGATTAATTAAACCGTCCACCCTCGAAATTTCGCGGCCAGTTTTGTTTTCGACCGCCACACGACCATATTTTATCTCTACACAATATTGAAGTAAATCCATATAATGATAATTTCCTGAGAAGAGGTTGTGAGAAAAGCATTTGATATAAACATAAAGTGGTTTCAGACCATCCCATCTCAATTACTTAGCTACACCTTGCTAACTGTCAAGGGTCAGTTTTTCTTTTCCTTTCAAGTAACCGACCTTTCTTTCCCAAACAACTCATGGCATGAAGCTCACATATTTTGAATTGTGGTTGTGTTTATTTAACTTATTTCATATAGAGTGCCCACCTACCGTCCATCTCCTCAAGCTTTTCTTTGAAGCTGTCCTCGTCTTTCTTCCACTGCCTTAACCGTTCTTTATAGTGTTCCTCTAAAGCGGGATCCATTGACCCAACTTTGAGGTTTGTCATATCAGCTGCATATTTTCCCCCTACCAATCCCGTTATTGCATTGCTGATAGCCAGCCAGTACCTGTTGAATGCAGCATCATCTACGGAAGCCTGGTTGGCGTGGCCGTAAACTTTATTACGATAGTACTTTACTCTGGCTATGTGAGCTTGCTTACTTTGGTCTAGATCAGGAGGAAGAGCGTCCCAGCCGGTAGCCAGAGGTGCCAGCCCACAGATATTTCTAAGTAGTACCATCAATAGTGTAACATCAAACTTGTGTGATGAAACTGATGATAACACAGCTGGGAATAGATCTCCCCATTGTGAAGAATTGATAATCTTTTTCGTCTTGAGGGTATTTAAAGTTGCATTATGCGGAGGCTGCGTTAAGACTGTCTGGAGTGCTGTTTGGGGGTGAATGCCATCAAACGTATCTCTTAATGCTTGAGATCCCACATCCATTAGAAGACGACACAGTCGCGCATAGTTAGTCGTCTCATCTGTGGAAGGAGATAATTGCGGCACTGAGAAAGCCATTGGACCTAGGTCTGAAAGAAAAAGGTTGTTCTGTAAGTTTTTCGTCTATTTCAAGTCTGTCTTCCAAGGTTTTTAAACCAAGTAAGGCACCGGCTGTTGTTATTACTATCGTTCAGTTGAGTGCGGATAAATCATCATGTTGCTAGAGAATGGCTCTCGCCGAACTGTTAGAAAAGTCAGCCTAACCAAATTAGCAACCGAAAATAATTTAACATCAAATTTGATAATTTTTAATGTTGGTTATAACTATATAAGAATTGAAATGAAGCAACTTCAATTTTTTCAGTTTGCATGTCGTGGTTACTGTTTAAAAAAAAAGATACTCTCTTGCTGAAAAAATTGAATTGTGCCACAAAGGAAAATCAGATACGAAAGTGAGTTGTAGAAAAGCTTCCACTTAAATATTTCGTTACTAAGTTTGACTCGTGACAAGAAAGAAATTAGCAAAATTAATAACAATTAGTGCGCGCGCTACATCCGGTGAATTTTATGATGGAATCGAATTCTCCTCAGAGTTTCAAACCGAGTTAGAAAGGTTTTTCGATCAAATCAAATCTTTCTCGCGATTAAAAGAATTTTGCCTATCTGGCCTCGTATAATAAGTTTCGTTTACAAAACAAGTTCTGCAATGGTAACTATTCCTATCTAGTTTAATGATGACTCCCGCCAAAATTGTCTAAATGTCATTCTCTATCACTGGCAACAGTCCTCTTCAGGATTTTTCAAGACTTTCGAAAGATCAGACAACAAGATAACAATGTCAACATAACTTCTGTAATAAAGGGGTAAGTTTCTATAGAAACTGTGGTGCTGCGTCGGTGGGAGAGTATAACAGGTAATTCAGTGTTAACAACAGAGTGGAAAACGTAAATTAGCCACAGTTAAGGGTAAAAAAGCTGACGTTTCGAGCGTTAGCCCTTCGTCAGAACGATTGGAGGAATTGTGGGTTGTGTGAGGGTTTATATGCAGAAAGTGGAGCAACGCCATTGATGGGAATATGGTGACGAGAAAACAGGAATAAATTAGTTGAATGAAAAGCACACGTTGATTCCGTGGGGATTAAGGGTGCCGATTTGGAAGATAAATTTTTGTTCAATTGTTTTACGGCTTTCCGAACTGCTTAGATGTAAGGAAAGGCCGCAAACTGTCATATGCTGTCTAGAATGATTAGGAAGATTAAAGTGTCTAGCGACTGGTTTGGATGCGCCCTTGTCATTTCTTTCCACGTCGCGAAGGTGTTCTCGGAATCGGTCTCCTAGTCGTCTTCCTGTTTCGCCGATGTATAACTTATTGCAATAAGTGCAAGTTATGCAGTAAATAACATTGGCGGAGGTACACGTAAAGTGATCAGTGATCTTAATGGATCTCTTGGGTCCCGATATTTTCTCTACGTTATCAATGAAAGAACAAGTTTTGCATCGTGAGCGAGCGCATTTTGAAGTTCCAGACTGGTCATTGGTTTGAAATGAACGGTGGTGGCCTGCTTGAACGACAGAGACAGGATAGCCACGTTTATCGAAAAACTGGCACATTGCCTCTGATTTTTCGGAAAAATCAGAGTCATCACTATATAAACGACGAAGTCTGAGAAACTGTGAAAAATGTATGGAGTTCTTGACTTGTGATGGATGTGAAGATGAATACAACAAGTAACTATGTGAATCTGTAGGTTTGTAGTAAACACTAGTGCATAAACCGTTGCCTTCAATTGAAATTCTGATGTCTAGAAAAGCCGAAGAAGTGTCGAAAATTTCCCAGGTTTATTTAAGAGCCGGATGAAAGGAATTGACGGCGGTTATAAATTGAGTGAGCTCCTCTTTGGTAGAGGAGGTAGCGCCGATACAATCGTCAATGTAACGGCCATAGAGTTCAGGTTTTGGGCCGTGGTATTGACTAAAAAATTGATGTGCGATAAAACCTAAAAAAAAGATTGGCGTAACTGGGTCCCATTTTAATACCCATGGCTACGCCATTAGTTTGTTTGTAGTATTTACCACCGAATGAAAAGCAATTCAATATGAGTACTAGTTCGGCCAGACGGAGTAGTGTTTCAGAGCTAGGTTCCTTAACAGTGCGATGATCGAAAAAATGTTTGAGCGGGAGACCTTCGTCATTGGGAATGACAGTATAAAGAGATGTTGTATCCATAGTGAAAATAAGTTTGTTTTGGCCGAGGAAACTAAAGTCAGGAAAAATTTCAAGTGCGTGTTGGTTGTCCTTAAGGTAAGACGGTAAAGTTTTGACGATAGGTGCCATAATTTTGCTGCAGGCAACCTGGGTTGTTAGGTATGTGGATTTTAGGTAAAAAGTAAATACACGAAGTTCTAGGAGTGGTAATGATACACGTCGTATTTCTGGTGATAAAAGAAACCAGTAATAAAGAGCAAACTCATACTGTTCAGTAACGCCTATTTTTCGTAAACCAGAATAGCAGGAATCTCACTTAGTTCATGGTGTGACATTAGTCATACTATGAGGTTTTGGAAAGCAAGGAAAATCCTTCGCTCATTCACACACCCACTCACAGCTCGACAATTAATTTATGCATTAAAACTTGAATTAAACGCGCTATCCCCTAACGCCCCCACTGGGTTTGCTTATGTTCCCAAAGTCATGCCATTATCTTCCGTACAAATGTCTGGGGGATGGTATAAAGGCAGAGATATTTGCCCGTGGACATAAGGTTACCAACATAATTAAAAATGGCGTCTGTCATCGGGCCGTGGGCTAAAATAAGCTGGCTGGTTTCTCCTCCTTTTCGCTCCATACTTGACGTGCTTGATCAAAATATATCCTTGTAGACCTCAAAAACGAAGAGGAAAGGTGCGGAAAATACCCAACAAGTCTAAAAAACGTCTTATGAAAATATTTTGTGGGACAGTACGCTAAAAGCATCAAGATGGTTTTCCTTGTTTTCTCTATTCGTAAACAAAATACAACTTTGTAGACCTCACAAACTAAGAGCAGCCTATCAGATGAATACTCAACTGAAAAGAAACGGGTTTTACAGATTTTATAGCGACGATGACATCAGTCCTAACGATATATATAATGTTGCGCCGCGTAAGCGATTTTATAAAAGATTAAAAAATTACAATTTTTTGTTATCAATTTGATTTTCGCGCATCCGTTTGGCTGCCATTTAGCTATATTCAACACATATTTGGCAGCTGACTTACAGATTTCATTGGATTTGACCTTTCGTCTTGTTACGCAATTACCTTGTAAGCTATTTCTCACCTGGTTTGACAGCGTGAATCGTTTTAGTCAAAACTTTAACGCGCAGTTAAACTTAATTACTTGCTTGGGCACAAATTGAATGTAGCCATGATTCTCCGATATTATTTACTGTTCCACCATCATTTTATCGGACTTCTAACTCGAAACTTCATCTTTTCTCTTTTGTTACGCATACAGTTTACTTTCCTTTTTTAATGTTAACAATCAACTGGTCATTTAGGGTAAGTCACGCAATATCGTAAAATGTCGGGAAAAGTTGGGCAGTAACAAATTCACTTTGTTCAGGCAAATTTGCTTTCTTTGAACGAATTAGTAGGGTATGTAAACTTAACGGATTGCCGTGAAATTTGGTTGGAAGATCTAATACCCGATTAATTCGCTCAAAAAAACATCGTCCAAGCTATTCGAATTGTCGCGCCTTAGTTGGTTTACAGTAGGTTCAGTTTAAACACAGGCAGCCCAAGCTCACGTCTCGAGAAAAAGCCAACGATGAATTCATGAACGCGTCACGCGTTGTGTGACTCGATGTTAAGTTACGGGAGGAACCGTTGAAAATTTGAACACGTTATAAGGAATAGTATGGGGAACGAAATATGGTCGATTTACAACGATAAATATTTCGAAATATGAATATTTTACACGTAAAATCAATAAAACTTACTCATTAAACTTAACTTAAACGGTTATTTTGCGACGAAAGGCGTATTACTTCCTTACTAGCCTGGACGACTAGCTGTTTGTGAGAATGTAACTGATATCATACCACGCTTACCTATGACGTAATTTTACCGACTGAGATAAAGGGTGTTGACACATTTCGTTTTGTTTCGTTTGGTTACTTTTCCCAAATTGGGGTGATGGGTCTTACTAATAGCTATTAAAATTTTGGCCTATTAACGGCTAACGGTTTATATTTTTCTGGTCACTGGAAATATTTTTACGGTCAACTTTTTTTCTAATCACTCTTCAAGTGTTTAACTCGATAGCTCACAAGTGAGATGTTGAGTAGGACACGAGAAAAGAAAATTCATGTCTACGAGCAACCATGTATTATTTTGTTGATCATATAAACACAATAGCCCTTTACTAACAAGAAGAGTCAACTTTATTAGTGAATGAAAATAAAAGGATCGACAATTCCCAAATAAAAATCGTAAAGTGCGTTGGCGCTAAGGCTCAAGATGAAAAAATGCGTTGAAACAATACAAAAACAAACAATGGCGTAATTTTCAATATACAAAATTCTCAGTTATTGACTTGGCCCTACTAACAGAAGAAATCTTTCAGGTACACGGTCAAAATCGGCCTGTGGCAAATCTTGCAGTTGTCGATTTTCGTTCTCAGCCGCGAGAAATGCCATTACCAAAGCCACTGAATGCGTTACTTTCGGTTTTTCGATTCATATTTTGGTTTTCTATCTTCCCCTTCTAGGAAAGTATGAACGTCACTGTCTGTAAGCGATACGGATTTTTCAGTGTTTTAGCAACCATAATTAAAAAAAATTACGACAAACGACCTTGGATTGAGAATGGTGAACGCTTTGCCGTTCATTTATCAACCTGACCGAGTGGCGCGAAAGGCGAGTGACGTGCATCAGCTGATTGGCGACATCAAACATCGTGAAAAAATACGATATTTTTGCAAGTATTTTGTTACGGCTTTTCGTAAAGCTGGAAATCCTTGTGTAACATCGTGGTTTATATGATAATCAAAGTGCTCTGTGAGCAAACTCGTGAATTGACAGATGACTTACATGATTT